GACGCGTTCGCTTCCGTACGTTTCGCACGCAAATGGAACGCGTTTCAGACGCGTTTCGAGGCAAAAAATATTTACATGGGTAATATTGGGTTAAGGTAGTATGTACCAATGGCAAGTAATGGTATGCCAAGATCTTGTATGTTCTTTTAAGATTTGGCGAACAATCGTAAGAAAACCGTAGTCTCCGAAATCTTCTATCAATTCGTACTATCAGATTCTTGAAAGTTCTTATTGTATCGTTAAATATGACTCTAAGATTATAGAAAATCTTCCGGAATAGTGAGATCTTTCTAGCGTCTTATTGCAAGACTTAATGTAAGATTTCAGTGACAACGATTTTTTGTACGATCGTATCTGCTTTCACAAGATCTTACATCTGATTTTTCGATCTGGGTACTGTATTCATGATGGCAAATAATTTCAGAGCTACGAAAACATGACGTAATATTTTCTATGCATAATAAGAACGATTCTTAGTTTCAATGTGCTTCATAAATTCAAATAATGCCATAACGAGATAGTTGTGGTTACTTTTCAGATTTCCATAAAATTTGTAGAAATTTGGGATCTTGAGAGTTTCGTCTTTTCTCTCTTATTTTGTTTAAATTATAAGAAAACTGATAAAAACACTTTTTTATTAATTTTCTAGCATTAATGAAAACTTTCCATTAGATTTTATAAACAAAAAAGAGCGTTTTGAAAAGGAAGAATGTATTTTCTTGATGTTATAAACTATTTTGATTCAAAGGTTTTATCTTTATTGAACGAAACTTTTTCATTTTATATTATTTAAGAAAATAATATCAAGTTACTCGTTAAACTACTCATAAAGAAAAATTAGAGTCATTATTACAAACACTCTTGCTCGAATAAACGAGAAAAAATTTTCATATTAGACATTAACTCATCTAGAATAATATACAAAACTTGTTTTTCCTCATTCAGATTTTACATTGTATGTCTCGAAATAAAAATTAATTAAAACTTATTTTCTTGGACGTTTTTGTTTGTTTAAAGAAAAAAGATCTGGATGCAATAATAATGCAGAAAACAAAATAGAACAACGACAAAGAAATGTTCCATAGGCTGAAAGGATAGGGCCTGGAAGCCGTAATTCACCTGTGTCTGTCTGCCTGCCTGTCTGTAACACTGGCACAAATGACCATTTCTGTGGCACAAATGACCAATTCTATGACACAAATGGCCACTTACGCGACACAATGGACCATTTCTATGGCGCAAATGACCATTCTCAGGGCACAGTTTACTGGCGGATCCACGGAGAGGGCACGCAGAGGAGTCAGTTCTAATGACGGATCAAGTGAACGGACAGCCGGAATTCCCATAAGGAACTTTGGTCCCTCCTTGGTTATATTTTTAAACGCTGTAACTCAGTAGCTAGGTGAAAGTCAATCCTTCCCGCTTCTTAGATATTTAAGCCCCCTCGTGGGAATTGTTAACAGTGTGTCGTATTAACTAGGTGGCTGTGAGATTTGCCCCCTCCCCATCAGAAACAAAATCGGAGTTCAGGCACTGCTTCGCACCTGTCTTTTGCCCTCATTTTCGCTGCGTTCTTATTCATAGTTCTTGGAAATTTCTCATTTTCTGCTCACCGGTACCCCACTTTTACTTATTCATCCTCCGGCTTCCATGTCTCGGTTGAATTTATTCAGCCAGCTTTCTGGAAATTTCAGGATCTTTGGAGTAAACAACCGACGAAGTGGATTGTTCCTATTTTTTATGTATGAATTCTGTCAGTCTAGGGCCCAGTGAATCGATTTTCGATTCACGTTACTTGTTAATAGGTAAAAATTGAATATTTGATTATTTAATATGAGAAAATTGTAAGATTGAATAAAAAAACATATAAATCAAAATTAACAAAATAAAAGCAAAAAAGCAAAAAATAAAATTTCATTTTACTTTTTATTTTTATTTTTATATTATATAAATTTCCAACAAAATTATTTTCAATTTTTTCATTTGAAATAAATAAATAAGAAATTTATTCGTTTGATATTTTTCGTTGTTGTGCAGATATTTGAGCGTAAATATGTTGCCATTGTTTAGATAATAGTTCATATAAAACAGATAAAGATTCAAGTTCTGTTCGAAATTCACGGATTTCAATTTGAGACGATATGATGAATGAACTTGAATTTGAACAATCAAAAGGAATTATATCAGATTTAATTATAAATGATATAAGATGAAGAAATAAACTATTTAAATGTGGATGTAATTCATATTCAATTAATTCGTTGTAATGTATAGCATATATATGTGATAAACAATGAAATAATAAACGAACAATTTTACGGATTAATATTATAAATGTTGAAGGAAATTTATTATCTAAATTAATATTATTTATCAAATCAATCGTGTACTATTCAATTATTTTATCGTTAAATACAAGTCACTATTCGACACTATTTTACTTAATGTTTATTAATTGAAAATTTCATATTAATAGATAAATATAAATGCGAATAAATTTAGAATCTATTGAAAATAGACAAATTTTTCATTATTTTCTCTCTTTAATATTTGATTATACCGAAGAAAAGTGAGAATTGTTTATTAATATATATTTATTTAATATTTTGCCTTTGACTTAATAAAATTTATTTCTAAAAAGATTTAAAGTTTATACTCATGTTAATTGAACTGTGATCATTCTTCTTATTTCTACATATAAAATCGTTGGCTAATCTTCTAAAATAAAAGAAATACAATAGTAATTACCAAAACGTGTTGGAAAAATAGCTTCATTTGAAAGATTTTTTTGAATAAAAATTATTGCTAATTCAATATATTGTGATGCTGAATATTTAACTTTTTTTCCTCGTTCATCAACCCAATAATATAAACTGTAATTAAAGAAATATTCAATTTATTTAAAAAATAAAATCAAAAACAATTTTCTTAAAACCTATTTTTTGGACCAATCATAATTGGACATGTTGTTGTTGTACATAAATGAGATATTGCACCGTATAATATATTAATATGATTGAAAAACGAAACAACTTTAAATAAATATAAATAAATAAGTATTTAATTTATTTAAAAGAAGAGAAAAAGTACAAACTATTAATAGCAATCCATTCATTTTGATCAACACCTTCTGGCTGTCGAATTAATTCTCCAATATTACATTGAACGAATGAATGAGTTAACACAATATATTCGTTTTGTAATTAAGGAAAAACAGATGATGATCTGTTATTTATTTGACATGATACCGATGGAAATGATAGTTTATTATTAATATCCAAATTTGACTTTGTGGAATCTTCTTTGTTAATATTTGATAAACTATTATCGAGTTTTTGACGTGTTTTCCTTGAGAAAAAAAGTCAATTTAAATAATATTCATCAAGAAGAATCAATGATTCGAATGTTGAATTAAGAATGTTAAGTGAACGAAACCAAATGATTTCTTATGAAAATGATTTTTTCCGTGGAAATATTCTCTTTTATCGAAGTATTTTTTTTTTCTATTAACAGAACAAATTAATTTATATTTGGAAAAAAGACCTTTGTACGTCATTGAGTAAAAGTTTTTCTTTTTTGAATGTATGACACAGATTTTTCTTCATTCTCTTTTATTGGTTTAAGTTGAATACTTTTGTTAAATGCAATAAATTATTCAAAATATTCAAAAATTTAAAGAACTCATCGATTTTATTTTAATTTTATATTGAGAAATCTAATTTAGTGTCAAATTTGATTTCAATTGAAAAATAAATTTCCAATTCGATTTTGAAAGAAAAAGACGAAGAACATTAACAATTATTTACTGTTTAATATTTGTCATAGAAAATATTCAATTGAAACAAAGAAAAATAAAATAATGTAAAATCTTACCGTTTATAAGTATTCATTTATTTAAAAAAATTAATTCAACATAATAATATAAAGAAAATATTCATTTTCGACAATATTAAATCTGTATCAAGTGAAACAAGTTTAATATGATTCAAAAAAGAAACGCTTCTTCAAACAAGAAAAAGAGGAAAAGAAAACAGCGAAGATTTTTCATAAAGGTGGATATTTCTTTTTCTTCCTTTCATTTTTTCTTTTTCTCTGAGCCATTATCATAAAGAGAACTAAACAAATCAAGGTTACTTTTTTCCCAATTCTTTTATTTCAATAATCTCAATAGGTTATAAATGTTAAAAATTCTTTCTCTTTTTTTAAAGAATTTTGAAAATATTCCATTATAAATAATCGAAGTAAACAAAAAAACTTCATTTGTCAATCAATTGGAAAATTTTGAAGTAATTAATAGTTGTTATAAAATAACTTTGATAATTATATTAATACATTCGATCGTTTGAGTTGAGATCAATCAAAATTTTTATCAGTGTACTTTTAGTAAAAAACCAATATTTTATTACAGAACGAGCATATCAGCACTATACGAAAAGCAGCTATTCATTCTTCTAAAACGAAATTTCGAAAAATACTAGAAGTTTATGCGTACCAGTTATAATTGCCAATTTTTTTAATATAAATCCATAATAGAACATATCAACAAAGAATTATTAAGATTAATTATTAACTGTTGCTTGAAAATAATTTTAATAAATTCCACTTAATATATCTCTTTAGCAAAATAGATATATAAGAATCAGATCAGATTGAAAGATTTTATGAAAATATTTTTCTAATTTTTAAAATCTTATTTATTTCATAATATAATATTATCTTCCATTTTTCGTTCAATGTAGATTAACTAAATAACTTATGTTAAGTATAATCATTCTCGTTTATTATTATTATTATTTCTTCAATAGATTAATGCATTTTCAATAGAAAATGAATCTTCAACATCTATTAGATTTTTAAAAGGGGAAATTAAAAATAAACAAAAATGATACGTATTGTTTTCTCTTTCGATATTAATATATTGATAAATCCATATGTTCTTTTTCTTCTTAGAAATAGATATGAAAAGCACAAATTTATATTAAATCCTCGATTGTTAACTAAATTTTGTTTTAATTGCAATAAATTAGATTGCTTGTTTTATTATAGAATAAAAATTTCGTCACCATGTAAGATGACTCTTGATCTATATTCTTCATCTATATTAATAGGTATGGCAAACAACTGATTATATAATTTCTTTTTTTCTTCGCCAATAGATAGTTAAACGATATTATTCTCTTTCAAGTTTAGAATTACGCTTTCACAATAAATAACATAAGATGTTTGCATTGAAAATCTATATTGATGAAAACGATTATTTTTACGATCAATCATAAGTACGGTGAAATACTATTGTCTATGAAATCTCTCATAATTAGTTGGCTTTCGAATGATTGTACTCTTGAAAGTTCATTACACATCAGTACACACCCTATCTTATTAGATCTGAGAAAAAGCCAACACCAGCTGGTTACTCTGTATTAACTGTATTGAATTTCATATACTTATCGGAAAATCCTCGTAATCAATCGTTTTATTCATTTTTCAAATTGAACGTTTATCTTTTCTTTTAAAACAAAGACAAATTTTCATCTAGTGACAGGCTGTCGTCTAATAATGATCAAATGCGTTTCTATGTGAAAAATTGTAGATTTTTATTGGATATCCATCATTGTAACGCGTTTTTTTTACTGAAGACAGATATGTAATATACATATACTAGAAGGTAAGACGATAAATATGATTGATTTAAACGGTATCATTCAATTTTGATTTTTTCAATCAAATCAAATTCAATTTTCAAAAATACATGTCGTCTGACTGCGAAAGCTTCACTGAAAATTTTCGAAAACTTGATTAGATATACACATTTGTTGTTTCCTTAATCTTTCGTCGACTTTCTTATAAAATCTTTTTGTTCAAAATTCGAATAAAACTTTGTTAGGATTCATCGATCTCGGTAGTGCCAAACTTGAAACTTGAACTCATGTTGAAAATAGAAATTTTTAACTTTCAATTCATAGCGATATGTGTGTGAGTCACGATTCTTCAGAATGCTATTGGTTTAAAAGTTGAAAATTGAAAACTGAAAACTGAAAATTTCAATGTTCAATTGAATTCAAGTTTCAAGTTTGACATATGATCTTCTTCCTGCGAAAATTTTACTTTTGAAAAAATTACATCAAATAATTAATATTGAACATAATTCAATTCGCATTGTTTTATTTCAAATTGGTCTTTATGAATTTAGAGAAGTGTGAAATTCTCGATGAAGTTGTAATTTGAAATATTTCAATTCCTATCATATAAGTACATTTTAATAAATTTCAATAATTTTTCTACATTATTTTATCATAGATTACTCGAAGGTTGAACCACAAGTTCAATAAAAGTACAGGTAGACAAAGAAAAAGAAAAGTAACTATTATCCGTTTCAAAATAGAAGATACCTTACGAGTTTTTAAATAACTTTTGATACGTAATAGATAGAGAGCTGTGGTTT